TGGTTCAATCACATCAACAGCAATCGTTACTTGCAATTTATTATTATTATTATTATTTTTTAAATAGAATATTGAAAAACCGTCAGCAGCGATTTCAAACCTCATTGTTTTACTCCTGTTTAAGATAGTTATATCCTCGGGTTCTGAAAATCAGCAGTTAAGAAATTGAAAATACTCACAGAAATGTCTCTGAATTCACAAAGTGATTTGTATTTACCTATGGTATTTCTTCAAAGTTCTTTATTATAGTAAACATTATATAGGAAAAATTATCAAATCTCGGATATATTTTCAGGAAATGTCAATAAAGCATCAGCTATGTATTTTTTTAATTGAAAATTGATCAACAAATCTCTTTTGGATAAAATCTAAAGGTATCCAGGGATTTGGAAAAAATTGCGTTTTTGCTTATACTTACATGTATACAGTATTTTGATTCTTTTATTTACTTATGTGTTATATAAAACGTAGTGTAAACAGTTTGTGCTATCATTGCAAGGATCACTTCTAATTTCCAATCATGCTAATAAGCATTGGTATCTAAGGCTAGATTAAAGGTTTGATTTCTCAAAAAAATGTATATTTTGTAATTTTATGGGGGTACAAATGTCAACATTTTACAAGACCATTTCTAAGACTTCAGAGAGCCTTGAATCATATTGAGATACATTAAAAGATTTCAATTTAATCTTCGTTTTGAGACTTTTTAAATTAATAAATTTTAGAGTTATATTTCCTGAATGAGGAGGGATATCCTTAAAACATGTAAGCGCTTGGTTTATTGTGCATTACTGGTCTAGATAGAAATAGATTCCACAGCAGATGTTAAATGAAATGGACCAATTGAAAATTTATTTAAATATAATTTCGAAACATTCAAATTACTGGAGAAACAAAATGAAATTAAATTAATATTGCGAAAAAGGTTCAGACAAGACATGAATAATAAAACAAAAATGGTTTGTTACATGTTCTTCGACAAATATTAATGTGTATGAAGACTTTGGAATAATCTCTACTTGGCACCATTTTGTACAAGTATTTTTAAACAAATTAAAATTATAAAACAATAAAACAAATAACCAAAAATATACTTAAATGTTTTTAATAACATTTATTCTGAGAAATACAATCCAAGTTCAAGTTCACGTTCAGTTTATTCTCTGAAACCAATTACTGGTACATGAGGTTTTATGTACAATATATACAAAGACAATATACAAGATACACGTGAAATGTCGGAAATACGTTCAAATTTAAAAGAAATGGCGGAAATATATTCAAATTTTAAAGAAACAACAAAAATAATTATGGAGGACAGACTTGTTCATTACTCTAGCCATGTAACTGCACAATTTAATTAATACCTTGGAGTCAGCAGTTGACAATAATTCTGAGAATTTATTTTTAAAAAATTGGTCCATTACAATATTTACTAGGTAGATACCTTTTTCCTGCATTCTGAAAAATTGACATTCTAAAACGTAGTGATACTTATCTGCTAATTGTCCATTATTACAGAAAGTCTATCATTTTTTCAAATCCCACACCATATCGCAGTCTCAACTGGGAGACGATGATTCGCAGTTCTTAATTTAATTAGAATTGTTCTAAATTTCTTAGGTAGTATTTTTAAATATTTTTCAAATCCAAATTCTGTTTTGAAGATACTATACATATAACTTTTGGATGAATCGCGTATATCACTTTGCCATTTTTGTACATACTAATCCTTAAGACGTTGTTCAACTATAGTTTTTAGCCATTTGATATTTACAAAGGCTTGTTCATTCCATACGTTTGAGTAGCCACAAATATCAAGTATATTCTCAATACATGAAATCCAGGGATTCTTATGATTTCCTGAACAAAACTGTTCTGAAACTTTTCATTAAAGAAAATAATGTTGTAATCAGGCTTGTAGCGAATTACCTTGTAAAGTAATGCATTATATTACCTTTACTTCTAGAATTTGGGCATTAAATTACCACTAATTACCTTTACTCAATTTTCTTAAAGTTATGCATTAAATTACGATTACTTAAGTAAAGTAATGCATTCCATTACTACTACTTTTTAAAGTTTATTATGCAAAAATTATTGCAATTATTAGATCAAAATTTCAATGTCTTACAAAATCAAAGCAATTATTAACATTTTTCATCAAAACTAGATGTGATGAATATTGACTCTAATCTGATTATCGGGTACCAATTAAGTATTTTTACACTGTAAATAATTTTTATTTCTTTTTAATCCATTTAAATGAAATAAATCCAAATTAAAGAAGAAACATTTCAATTTCCATTAACACAAAATCTCATGTACAATATATACTTTGTAATTTTCAATGTCTGACAACAAAAATTTGTGGAACTCTTTACCTCCCTTCCCCTACCAATTTGGATATTTGGTTAAATTTTTTGTTCGAACAGACATGATATTTTGATCTTGTCCATTTTGAAACCAAATTCAACACACAAGTACAAAGAGTTAAACAGTATCTATATCTATACTCTAAAAGTAGCATGTCCGTCTCCCTTTTGGTCCTTGGATTAGTCATGGTCAGCTCCAGCTCCAGTAATGGTTCATGACACAGCCAGGAGATAGGGATTAGAATGTTAAGCACTTCTCAAAACAATATATTATTTGGTCCTAAAGGCAATGTGTGTTTTGTTGTCACAGTGTACCTATAATTTTTGTACCCCTGGTTGAAATTATTTTTAAAGGATTTTTTTTAAACTTAATTAGGTACACTCTTTGAAAACAAGGCTTATCTAAAATAACCTAAAAAGTATAAAAATTTAAATCCGTAGTAGTTGTAACTTTAACAGATATAACTATAATGTGCATATTTACTCGAATATACATAAAGTATGTTTATTTCAAAAAGTTAAATTATTTATTTTTATTGATTTAATTTAAATCTTTTATTCTTAACAATGATTGCCATGTCCATTTTGAATTCTTTTTTAATTTCAGAAAATGAGTAAAACAGAGCAATGTTATGCCATGTAATGCCAGCATAACACTTCATTTGAGAAGTAACACATTACGTTACGATTACATTTAATGTATTTTTTTGGCATTACACATTACTAGCATTATTTCAATTTAAAGAAACTCGTTATAATGTATTAAGATTACATTTAGCATTACCCTCAAGCCTGGATGTAATAAACACGTGAGTTTTTGTTTCTCATAATATCTGATAATTTGTAATATTCGAGAAGACGGATTTCGTCCTTTTGAAGCCTAGACTCGTCAGTTGAAACATTGGATCGATTAGCGGGAATGTAAACACTACCTGTCACAAAAGATCCGATGCCGTCACGAACCGGGAGCTGTGTGCATTATACTTTCGATCTCACATAAAACAACAAAATGTTAAACTCATAATTTTGTACTGTCAGTATCGTTGTCGTTTTGACTATTGCTACTCTGTGAACTGCGATATGTATCTGAATTGATATTGAATCTTTTTAATTGAAACCTTATCCACTTTCGAACTTTAGAGTCTTTAGTTGTAATGATTAAAATACAAACTCCCTGACATCCATTTAAGACAATATTTGTAACATGAAGCCATGTCATAGAGATATTATTTGCAAAATAAGCCAATATCCAAGATCCGCCACAGAAGAAAAACATCTGTAGGTACATCACCCATCTCTGTTGTTCTTTTCTTGTCTTCTGTATATTTTTAGTATTTTGCTTTGCAATTTCCAAACCATGGAGAGACACCCCAAGGCATATCATATTGAAAAAAGTAGAAATGCCAGTAGGTAAAACAAAAGTTAAAAGTAGAGCATCCGCATTTCCCACCCAGCAAGTGCCCCGTGCTCCATATTGCATTTCAAATGAAGTTAGATTGATATCAAGAACATAACTCACCAGGACAACGACGAATGGCAGTCCCCAGCCTACAATCGAGTATTTGACAAACAAACTGTTGTTCATGAATTCCCGCTTGAGAGTTTTGGAGCAAACAGCCAGAGTTTTGACAAGATCAAAAGCTAACACGCTTGACCAAGAAAATATACAAAGCCATAAATAATGTAGAGACAAAGCAAACCCGAAACAAACTTGTGATGGCAAAAAAGAAGGAAGAATAAATCCAAGCTGCGCGAAAAACCAAGACAACGAAAACGAAAGAAAACATTTTGCAGGACAAGTCTGTATCCCTCTAACCATAATTTGTAGAGCAATTGAAAGTAAGAGGCATAATAATGATATAGAAAAGAACACCAGTGTCAAAATCAAATTCAATGAATTACTATTATACTTTGTTTTCCCAGTGTGACAAATATACAAAATTGAATTGATAATTTGATATTGGTTACTGTTTAAAATAGTGGAACTTAAATTGAAGTAGACGGAATCGTTGATTATTTGGTATGTATCAGGCTCATATGAAGTAAGAAATGATGGGCATTTTAAAATATTTTCCCTTCTACAAAAGTAAAAATGACCATTTGTAAATTCTACTGTTGTATCTAACAGATGATGTTTAAATATTTTGACAGTTATAGAAAAACGAATTTTAGATAAAGAAATTGATATGAAATTATCTTTATAAACAGTGTCAAAAGACCCATTCTTTGATCCAGAGAATTCACCAATTGTAAAATTCTCGAGAATACCTCTATCACAAGTAAGGGACTTGTTTGGCTGAAAATTTTGTAACATGAATACCTCTGATGACGTATTCATTCCAGAAAATATTTCTTTTAAGTGCTTTATACTTTTTGGAAAAAAATCTGTATCTTCAGGACCTAGTCTGATTATAGACACTTTTTCTGTACTGCATGAGGAATTAATACTTTCAAATACAATATATACATTGCTGCGAAAAAAGCTATCCAACGTATTAGCAACATACGGCTGATGTATAAAATCATAGTTTGACTCATTGTGAATACATGTTTGTTCTTCTCTGAAATATCCTTCTGGACAGATTAAATTAGAACACAGTCCAGTTACATGGTCATATGTCAAACCCGAGGAACACTCGTTCACAGTATTGCTGATCTCAATATCATCTCCAGTGAAACGGAACAAAATATTCATGTCCATTTCAGTAGGTATCACAATTTCTGGGTGTACATCTATGACTGGCTCCAGAGCTGAAATATTATGTCGGGCTGCCAGAGCACAGTGTTTATTTCTAAAATATTTCTTCTCATTTTTATCAAACAGAAGAGAAATGTAGCCATTACATAGAATATGATTCTTACTTTCATTTGAGAAAAACTTCGACCCATAGGATGCAAATGACGTGTTAGTGTCCACACAGTATCGAAGGTTTTTGTCTTCTTTGAGAGTATAAACAATTTTGCAATGTTCAGAGAGACTTTGCAAGTCAAATCTAGGGATGCTCTTATATTTCTTTGCACATTGCACAGAAGAATCCCAAAGTTGCATATCACTTTTCTTATACCCATGGCAGAGTGCACAGAAAGGATTTCTAAATATCAAATGATGTACCCCTGATTTTATGGAAGTTATAATATTCAGAATTTTATAACTTGATGAACATTTTGCACTTAGAAAGCCGACGTAATGAGATGGGCATTGATTTATTAGTTTAACAGTTATTAATTTAGTATTGTTTCCAATGGCATTCCTTAACTCTATAGAAAAACATCTACTGTAGATATTCACTTGAAGCATATAGTCAGATTCCGTGTTGCTGAAATTCGTAATAGATTTATTTGAAATTTGTTGAAGATAAAGCTCTTTATCGAAGCTATCCTCGCAACAATCATTGAACAGGTTGCACTCACCATCACAAGCACAATGTCGAATGACATGGTTTTTTCCAGAGCAACTCCACTCGTCTCTAATCTCTGGGTCACATTTAGAAAAAGGACAATCTGTAATTTAGCAAATATCTAAACTCGTAAAATTAAAATTACATAAGATAAAGTTGAGTTTTATAGAGTTTTAAAAATTCAAATAATCATAATAATATAGGATTATATATGACAAAATCATTTGAATGAAAAAGGAACGCTCGAATGTGATCAAGAATGATAAATTCGAAAACCTGAAATATTCCCCTGATGCCTTAAAGATGTTATATTAGAAAATGTACCGAGGGAGTTGATCGGATAATATCGCACTGTAGTTTCATTTGAGGTCGCTTGAATACTGTTGAAACAGTAAACTAATCCTGGAATTCAGAAAAAATCTAGGGTTTTTTGGTCTAATAAAGAAAGCAAATCTAATGTGTAAAGAACAAAATGACATATTTGTATGCCAATAAATCTGTCACTCAATAAAAAAATATCTTCATTGACTTTAATAGCTTAGCATCACTGTTACCATATAAGTGGAAATTTTAGCGAGACGCAAATTTAGTGATTGTCCTTAAAAATCAGCATTTAAATTTAGCGAGAAGTAATTTTAGCGATTTTACGGTGTATAGAAAGATAACGGTAACCTCTGATGAGAAATTATTTTTAGCGATATTTAGATAAAGCGATCTCAATACCCTAAAAAACGCCAAAATTGAATCCTTGCCAAAAGTTCTGCTTATAAGGTACTTAATTCTTACATATTTTTAAAATGGTAAATAACAACAACTATTTCTTAATTAATATTCAATATATTTTTCATTGTTTTTGATATTTGATAGAAGGTACATAATATTTTACAAAATTGCATAAAAAACCATATTCAACTTACCACATGCTATTTCTAAAATCATGAATATCAAGATGACAACCATTTTAAATATAACTTTTGGTCCCCCATACTTCTTTTTATAAAGAAATCTCCTTGTACCCGCCATATGGTACGTTAATGTACTTCCATGTTTGCTTTGTTCTGTCTAGAGTCCTGTCAATACATTAGGAAGAGCAGAAAAGACATCATTTATCAAATGTACCGCGAAGCACATGAATTAAGTGTGTTATAATGCATGCACTTATTTTTTTCTGAGTAAATACATTAAGAGACATATTTTCATCCGACACGGAATTTCCTGATATTTCATAATTCCAACACTGAGAAAAATATTAGTTAAAGCATGGCCATATTTTTTGGATTATGACCTGTTCAATTTTCCACGTTAAAAATTGAAAGCATTCTATAGGGGCTTACACATTATTATCACAAATCACAAATACCATTAATATGTAAATATTTCTTATTTTTTTCCTTCCATACAAAAATTTTCACTATCAAAGCTGGTTTTGAGACGATTGTACATTGTATTACCGGATTGTACAAGCATTTCTTTAATTTTTAAACAACGTCTCTTTATGTTTTCAATTGAAGGGAGGGTCTGACTCATCAATATATTTGGAATGTAACAGTTTGCCCTTGCGGTCAAGCCTTATAAATTTTAGTTCTCAGAAAGGCTCAGAATAACGTAGACAGATATACATGTACAAACAGTAGAAGTTAGCCATCATAAGGTACTTATATATATATATATATATATCTGTACACAAACTGCAAGGTATCGAAGCTTATACTGACTTCATTGTAGATAAAATTAAGGAGCAAATGAGAATTAACAAACAGAATAATAAATAGATAAATAAATAAAAAAAAAATAAATAAATAAACCATTTGTAACATGCATAGGCTATAGACGCATTCAGGTAACTGTGAATGGACAACTTTCTGCTGTTGTGTGCATGTATATGTCGCCCATGTATTTAAAAAAAAATCTTAAATGAACTATCGCCCTCTACATTTAGTATTACTTGATTCGTGGGCAACATGCGTTTTGTCGAACCCAAGAATCAAACTGTTTGCTTGAGGCATTTTGTCCGAGAACACAGTCAATAAATGTTTTGTTCTACTTTTATTTTTATTCTATTTTGTTTTTGACATACATATACCTTGTGCGATTCCATCATGAAAAATTTTCCGCACTGCGGTAAAACTAGGTCAGTTCTGTCACTGTCGAACACCAGCGAATGCAAATAAGATTTAGCTAATTCCGCCCACAGTGTGACGTAAGCGGTCCAACATCTCATCGACAGATCTCACTCTAAAGTCAAACACAGATTTTTTTGTGACCACTCAGTAAAACATTGCAAATGTTAGACTTTTTTTTTAATAGTATAGATTTGTATAGGTATAATAATATATATGTTTCTCTATCGGTCATGTTTTTTTTTTATTCAGAATGCCAAGATAACATAGAAACAGCTTATTCCGTTGCCAATGTATCTTCAAGTAACTCCAATTCATCAAAATTTTGCATCATGGTGTCTGATAAAAATTTTCGACAGATAAACCTCCCACCGTATCTATTGCTTTTTATTTAACAATATACATGTATACTTTAATTTTTTACCCAAAGGGTTAAATATAAACAGTGAGTTCTCATTGCATAATATGTTAAAATTTAAGAGGGATGACATATATTTTGTACACTTAACCCCCACCCCCACCCCACCCATCTCCAGTGTACAATAACTTGTAATATAAAGAAGGTTCAATCCTTAGCTTCTGAGCAGATTTCTGCATCATATTTTAGTTCTTACATAAAATTTGAATTCTACATATGTACAATGCAAATTAAACTATATTCAATTAAAAACCTACGAATACAAAAAGCATTAAGTGAAAATCCATATTTTGTGGCGGAATTTTTTTTTAGAAGAAAATTATAAAATTTTCTCTTTCGAAGTATTTACGGTACTGTTAAGTTTGGATTTCGATTTTTCCAGGTAGGCTGCACAGAGGTATTTTGTGCATAGAAATAATTTATACCGGTCCTGAAATATTTATTACTTTTTATGAACTCTATCATCATATTTGGACAAATATAACACAAAATTTTCCAAAAGTCTAGGAAAAAATACCACCAATTTTAACTTAATATTAAAACTTTTTTATTTAGATATATCTAAAATCATAGACCTCTTTTTTGATTTTCTTTTCTAAATGCATGAGATAACTTTCATCATTCTGCTCAAATTCAGCAAAAGATTAAGACTTTAAAATGATTTTCTTGCGAGTTGAATTTTTTAATGCAAAGAAAAATGACATTTTATGAGAGCAGAAAGGTCAAATAATTTAGCATGCGAAGTTATTTGAAAGTTTTTCTTTGTTACAGTTTTCAATGTGTCTTTTAAAGATGAAATAAGAGTATATTTGGTCCCATGATTTATTTGTATAAAAAATATTGAAAGTAAAACATCTTTCAGTGCAACAAGGTCATATTTGATGTACAAGAGCACGAAAGAAGCGTATTGACCCCCATTTTTTTGTTTTGATTTTAAATTAAGCTATGTGTGTAATACTAAAAATATACTGGTCAAAATATTCTTAAGAGTTTTGTTGAATTGATAATTTAAAACTCTGAGTATGAAATCAAACTTATACTCATAGCTCCCTTTCTAATAGGAAATTCTTCAAAATCATATGTCAGCTTTAAATAATTAGTCCCCTACCGGTGAAACCGGAGGGGACTATAGGTTTCCTCTGAGTCTGTCCGTCCGTCTGTCCGTCCGTCTGTCTGTCTGTCTGTCCGTCTGTCCGTCTGTCTGTCTGTCTGTCCCTCTGTCTGTCTGTCAGTCTGTCCCACTTGGTTTTCCGCACTTTTTTCCTAAACGCTTGTAGATATTGAGCTGATTTTTGGTATGTGAGTGAATCTTGATGAGTTACAGATCAAGTTTGCATTTCGTTCCGCTTCATTGATTTTGACGGAATTACGGCCTTTTCAATTTTTACGGGTTTTCCGCGATTTTCTTCTAAACGCTTGTAGATATTGAGCTGATTTTTTGTATGTGGCTTTACCTTGATTAGTTATAGATCAAGTTTGCATTTCGTCCCGCTTCATTAATTTTTGACGGAATTATGGCATTTTCAATTCTTAACGGGAACCAGATTACACTTGCCGGTAGGGGACTAGTATTGCTAATGCAATACTCTCAGAATGCTTGTTTTATTAGTCCCAACAATCAAAATGAATTCGAATTACTATACCTATACTGATTCCTTAACTTCATAAAAATCCTTACAAACAAAAATACATAGTGGATTCCAGGAAATGTTCTACCGAGCCTCTTTTTTTCTCCTCACTAAAATATTAACAGCAGTGAGTGAGAAACTTCAGGAGTACTGTACAGCAATACATTTGAGAAGTGGTGTAAATCAGATGTGGCTACTTAAAAACTCCAAGGAATTTTTAGGAAATTTGAAATCACAAAATTTTACCAAATTCAATAACATAAAAATGTACGACTTTTCAACACTTTATACAACCTTTCCCCACGATAAATTAAAGTTCAGGCTTTTAACATCATAGACAGCTGCTTTTTCAATAACAGTGTGTTCCAACGAACGCATATGTCTTCTGCTTTGTAACTTCATTAAAGATTTAAATAAATCTAAGAGAAGTCAGCTATTTGTTTACTACTAGCATGATATTTCATGCATTTGTCAGAAATTATTAGAAACAATTATTTACCACTTTATCAATACGCGTTTGCAGCAATCCTCCAAAAGAGATTCCAGTCTGTTTTTACTGCAATTGTCAGTCTACACGATCCATTGTTGTATACCGATCCTAATGCATATTCATAGTATTTAAATTCAACTTCTGGTGGTAACTGAATATTATACAGTTTCAAAGTACAGTATCATGAGCTCATAAACATGTATATATGTTAATTATTAAAATCCTGCCTCTAAAAATCCAAAAGACTTAAATTAAACTGCACGGATTTTTTTTTTTTTTGGCAAAGTAGGTCAAAGGTCAAGGTTTAGTGGATTGTAATGTTGGTGTTTATCATAATGTTTTTTTGAAAAACAGTGCACATGCAAAATAGTATAGACTTAGCACTTAAATATCAAAATATGCTGTATATCGGCACTATGAACTATTTTGAAAAGTAGGTCAAAATTCAAGGGTCACAAGGTTAGTAACTGTGGTAATTTACAAAAGTCATAGTGCCAAGCAATATATGTGCAAAACAGCAAATCCATACCTCCTACAGTTCTCGACAGATTTGACAGAGAGACAGACAGACAGACAGACAGCTAGTCCGACAGACGCCAGGCAAAGTGCACCCTATGTGTCGCTCTGCTCTGCAGGTGACACAAGCATGGAACTCGTAAATTTACTTGTTAATTGCCATTTGCAAAGTTATTTAATTAAAACACATTCTGATTGTACACAACAAGTAATCTGAAGTATAACATTTAAAAAATGCTTGAGTTTCTGATTGACAATATCTATGTAGTTTTTGGAGATTGGGTCTTCCAACAATCTGTCGAATTTCCCATGGGTAACAATTGCGCCCCGTTATTATCAGACCTATTTCTGTATTCATATGAAGCAGAATTTATTCAAACAAATTTACATAAGAAGAAGAAGACACTTGCTGTGGCCTTCAACCCGACATTTAGATATATCGATGACGTATTATCAATTAACAATAGTTACTTCCATTCATATGTCGTCTCCATATATCCCAGTGAACTTGAAATAAAAGATACGACAGAGTTTGACACATCTGTTTCATATTTGGATATTTTACTAGAAAATGGCTACCTAAGAACAAATATTTTATGATAAACGTGATTACTTCAACTTTTCTATCGCCAACTCTCCTTACTACTGTAGCATTATACCCTTATCACCTGCATATGGGGTTTAAATCTCCCGATTGATTCGATACACAAGAGCAAGCTCCACGTTCGAACAATTTCTAAATCGAGGCAAGCTGCTGAAAAAAAAGCCGGATCTCTTACATAGTGTTTGCCACAAAAATGTTCTTGGTACAGATTACTTTTTTTAATACATAAACAAAGAATGACCTTTCA